TTTGCCGAGTTTTTTTTAAATGTTGAATTTTTGGGAATTTTTATCAGTAATTACGACATCATAATCTTCTGGAACGTTCTCAACAGTTCCAGAGGGTATTCATTGAAAAAATATCTGCATCCTGGCATCAGGACGCATTGTCGCCAACGTGTTAATTGAATAGTCACCTCGAAGACAGATGGATAGGTCGGCGGAAGCGAATACATTCGGCACCCAGGTCGCCGGTCCAGGCTCCGCTCGGCTTCTGGCTGTGGGTTTTTATTGAACACGAGGTATTAGCCGAAAATCCGCGCACGATCTCTGACCTAAAGCAACGTGTCAGTGAGAATATTGCTGGAGTTGACTGCGACATGTGTGCAACCGTACGTATGCCACTTCGATGGCGAATCGCCTACGCCTTGCGATCGAGCTGGACGGTGCTCCACGTCATGGCAAGTCTAACTTCTAAGCCAAAAATACTTGTTTTTTTTTTTTTTCTCCCTCTACGTTCTATTTAGGTGAATTAGCATACGCTCTTTGGACTGTTATTTCCAGCCAAACTCTTATTAAAACCCAAGAATCTTGCGTGCGTAAAAGTTTTCTCCGTGACTTTCTTCAGGAACTGAGAGGAAATAAGAGAATGTGAAGCGCAATTGCAGGTGTTTTCCTCCAGCAGGGGATTCATCAATAATTTAAAAAAAAAATTACTTTTTTTCTCGAGTGTATAGAATATGGGTCGAAGTGTCGATCGAGTTCTTCATGAGAGATGTTGTGGAGAGTAGCGTCTGTTTGCGGTGCCCATACGAAACGTTACGCCCTCCTTTATCTATCTTTCACAGCTTCTTCATCTATTCTTCAGTTGATGGGTGTTCTGACAGCTTGAGGTCAAAAGCGGGGATTGCCATATTTTCCTCATGCAAAAATTCCTTCAAAATTCTGAGACCAATGATCAGACCATCAAGCTAATATAGCATAGGAAGACAATTGATATATGCAATATAACTCGTGTGAATCATGACCTGAGACGAAGAATATCAGATTTGCACTCATATGGGTTAACAAATGTTAATCATATTGCAAATTAGGCGTCTCTTCATTTTCGAATAACACTCGAGGAAGAAGTGGCATGTAAATTAGAAATTTCTCATAAAATTTGAAAAATTACTGCTTCCAGTAATAATTCACACTCTAGAGCAGTGGTAGGCAACTGGCGGCCCGTGGTCCAGATCCGGCCCGCGGAAGCTATCCCTCTGGCTCCCGGTATCGGGCATTACGGCCTGATAATAGACGTCCGGTTGCACGTTTGATATGAGCAGCTCAATAAAATTTTCATTTTAATGACATTTGGTAGGTACTGGCTCGCGAACGTTCAGCATTCTGCCATCCGGCCCGTCGTGAAATTTAGTTGCCGACCACTGCTCTAGAGTATGGGTGCTTCGCATGAACTAATTCATGAAAAATACCAGGTGGCCCAAATAAAAGTTCCGAACTTCACGCGCCTGCAAACGGTGTACTACACAGGATGAGCTGGCGACAGGAAATTTGCAGGCTTTTACACGCAATATTTGCAGGTAATGTCGCCAAAACTTCATTGAAATTAGTTTGAAACTACACTGTAAAAACTCGACCCATAAAGATACCCATAATGTTACCCATACAGGTACGGTTTATGGGTAACAAAAGTGGCCCTTTTTTTTATCTATAAATGTTACCTCTACGGTAATTGAGGTTACAAAAAAAATCACTTTAAGACACTTCAAGATAAGTAAGCAGTTACTGTATTGCACACTGAAAATCATGTTCAGCTTCAGACAACTCCAGCAGATTTATAGCAGACTTTCTCCAACAGATTTCTGAGCTTTACACTTTGAAGGTCAAGTGAAAAGGAATCATTGAGCAAAACACTTTGAAGAAATCCAAGTAACTGTCCATATGCTGCAGGATAGGATATGTCCCTCATGAAGTAGAAGCCCAAGCATATTATTGCTCCTTCTTCTGGGGACACATCCTTCGCAGTGACTTGAGAGGTAGCAGAAAATGTGAATTGCACTGACTGCTGATCAAGATGCAGCAGGCAGTGTGGTCCCAGAAGCTTTTTTGCAGCCCTGTTGCTGCAGTCATCCTGCCATTTGAAGAAATAAACAAAGTAATCAACATCAGAATTATATGACAAGCAGTCATGTGGTAGCTGCACAGTGGCTCTAGCTTACCTTGAAGAAATAAACAAAGTAATCAACATCAGAATTATATGACAAGCAGTCATGTAGTAGCTGCACAGTGGCTCTAGCTTACCTTCAAAATGAGTCTTGACATGACACTACGACGACTAAGGAACTCTTGCACTGATAATATTGCTGCCTTCTCCTGGAAGGCATTGGCAAACTTGTCAAGGGCATCAGTCATCAGTGGCTCTAGCTTACCTTCAAAATGAGTCTTGACATGACACTACGACGACTAAGGAACTCTTGCACTGATAATATTGCTGCCTTCTCCTGGAAGGCATTGGCAAACTTGTCAAGGGCATCAGTCAGCTTCTTGAGCAGAGTTGGAAATGAAGCTGAATGAAGCCACCTTGCAACTTCTCCTGAAAGCTGCAGGTAGAACATATCACTCTAATTATGACTTCCATACTCTCATGATTCCAGTGACTCCATAAAGCATTATGGGAAGAGGTGCAAGATTTTTCTAACCACTTTCTTGTGACACATGAAAGGTTGGAGGACATTTATAGGAATGCTCTTTCTTGAATTGAAGGTGAGGGAAAGAAGAATGTATACGTGCTGATGGTCAAAGGGCAGACCTGCCTGCATGGTTCTCGTCATTTCCTAAAGAAAAGGAGGAATAGTTTGTCTCATCATACCTTGTGTCACTCGATATAATTCAGGCAAATTTTGAAAGTCACTTTTCAGCATTAAAAGAAATTAGTGAAAATAAAGGAGCATAAAGGAATTTAAAATTTCATGCTTACGGCCAATTCCCTGAGTGCATCTTCAACAGAAATGTCAGGAATATCCACTTTTGTAGAGGCAGCAACTTCTTTGTTAGCGAGACACCTCTTTGGATGCTTGTGGTGAGCTTCCGTATGAAGGCACTCTATGGAAATTAAAAATTATAGCAAAATTAAATACTCATGTACTCCATAACAAATATCAAGAAAAGGATGCAGACTATGCATGCCTACTTATTCGTTTGCTGTCTGCTTCTTGTTCACATTTCTTTTTCTCGGGAGAGTCAGATATTTGGCATGCAGTTCTGCTCCCAGTCTGTTGTAGGCCCATCTCATTTCTGCATGATTCTGCAGTATGATCAATCTATTTGCACTGCAAAAATAGGAATGGATGCTGAAAATACCCTGAAACTAATGTGGGTCATAAAGTTTCCTTGATATGCATGCATGATAAGTATACAGTAGTATATAGTATAAGCACAGTATAAAAGCTTACTCCAGGTGATGAATCAATTCAAATCTAAGGTGATCAAGGAGCATCATTCTGTCATCCTCATGAAGCAAAGGTTCCAATGACCCTGTTGCCTTGAAGTGATGCAGAAATTCTTTACCACTTAATTTCTGAAAAGGGTTGCGGAGTCCAAAACAACAGCCTGATTAGAAATGCATTCAACTGTAGATAAAGATCACATTTTACTGAAGGAAACAGAGTAATGCAAGACAAGCTGAACCAATTGAAACGGACATTTTGGAGTAGCAAAGGAAGGACAGGGTGGTTAGACACAAATGGAATAGATCATAGGGTCTTTTTGATGTATTCTTGAAATTTTCTCTCAAGAAAGTGCAATCATGCACCATCATCATCAAGCAGGTGGCCTGTGAAATGGCACACTGGAAGAATCACCATAGTTGTGTCCCTAATTTTCTACCTGTAAGCTGGCCAAGGGTGCAACAGAATGGAATGCTGTACCACCATACGGTCAGTAACTTACACGAAAGCCATTCATTTTGGAAAGAAATGTGTGTATAACAAGTGGCCTACAACTGAGAAATACTCTCTTATGAACCAGGATGATTTCATCTACAACCAAGAACAATAGAATCTTGTTCAGCTGGAGTAAGAATTATATCCTCAAGTTTGATAGTAACATTTTGCAGAGTAATGGAGGTCACTGACATTCCAAGACTGTTTTGACAGTCATCAGGAAAACAATCCTTCAATGGAGAAGAAGCTATAGAGAAGGTTGTTGATGCTGAAGACAAATTTCGGAAGTTATGGTATTTTTTGGTCTTGATCACAGCATTCTTCCCCTCCATCCTCATGGTCCAATGATGTCTGGAGGGGCCATGATGATGAATTTGCTTAGGAAGATGGATCAACACATGCATCTTGTTGATAAAATTTTCTGGGCCATATTCCTCCACATAGAGTTCATGATGTAGAAATCCTGATCCATCTGGAAGAATCTATTGCCGAACATCACTTATTGGGGACAGTACCATCTGCATGATTTGGATGAGAATTATGAAGATCTTCAGGGGCCTGAAATCATCTGGAATAAGGTATTCTAACATTATTGGTAAATGTAAAGCCAAGGTCAAACAAGCTGTTGCAGATGCCACCACTTCCAGTCTGGTGTCAAATGGTAGGGGAAGATGGCTCTGGTCAACAGAATGATGGTAGCAAAATCCCAATATTCTCTTATTTAAGATCTTTAGTGAGAAGAACCTGCACTCTTGCACTTCTTCAGAAGAAGTTGATTTCTTTTGGCATAATACCTTCAAAAAGGATGTGCATAGGATCGAATAGGAGATCTTTGTAATTGAGAAGTATTCAATGTCTAAGAGGGGACTTTTAGTATTAATTCCCATGCAAAAGAAAAGCAGTCCTTGAGCCAAATGCATCTCTTGCATCCTCAATTTCAAGTAATTGCTTCATATGGCCACTCTGTCCGAGGATGTGCCTCTGAATGATAAAAATGATAAGACAGACACGACATGACCGAAGCACAGTTGACCCAAACCCTTCCTTGAAACCACCAATGTTATGGCAAGCAAGAGCATCCCCAAAATAGAAATGTGGAATTATTAGTCCAAGGAGAGAAACAGAAATATTCTGGTGTTCTCTTATCCTGTTTTTGAGTTCCTCCAAACAAGTGAAAAAAATCTTTCTATAGCTATGCTTCCAGAGTATTGCTTTTGAGCAGTGGCGTAGCCAGGTTTTCGTCAATGGGGGAGCTAACTTCGCCTTGTCAGGTTGGGGCGGACGCATTTCGACTGGAGTTGGGGGGGCTTGAACCAAACTTGGGGGGCTGAAGCCCCCCTCGCAACGCCATTGCTTTTGAGGGGAAGTGCAGGTCCAGGGGCAAGTAGATGAACGGGTACATTCAAGAAGGTGATATAAATTACCACGAGCTTCCCATTCTGACTTCTCTTCATTACTAAAGGGTTAGCCACTTCAATCTGTATATAAACCAAAGACAAAACAATGATCAACATGACCTTGAAGGACTGGGTGAGACCTATATCTGAAACCATCGCAAAAGTCCCTGCATTGTCAACAACATTAGATTGAGGGCGATAGTAAAAAAATGGGCGCATATGCTCATGCTGGATCATGTACTGCAAATGATCTTTGAAAGGGATGTACTGAGCCTTGCTACCATCAGATAAACACATTTCCTTTGGAGCATCATATATTTGTTTTTTCACATAAGACTTCCTTAGCAAATATTTTGTTGCAAATTTCTGCGCTGGCAGATAGTCTTTCCTCCAAGAAGCACTTCAGAAATTGAAGCAACAACAGTGTTAATCAAAACCTGAGAAGCACAAAACCGCCCTTCTTTTAGTTCACGACACAGATTGCTCAGCTTTGACTCTATGTGCCCTTCAGCAAATGTAGCTGACACATCCCCCACAACCTCTTGAGATGAAGCTTCAGAAGCATGGAATGAGGGGACACTACCAGAATGCGAGGAAAGTCCATAATTTCCACTACCACAGGGCTGTCCAAAGGTCTTACCAGGTGACATATGACATTCTCTGTTCTTATCTGAGGTTTGTCATTTGTTGCTACTTCCAATGTCAGAGACATACAAACCTTGCAATGATTCTTAAACCTCTTCCAAAGATTGACTACTGTCCCACAGGAGCACTTGAATAACCGAGATGACTTTGTATGACAATTCCTTGCATGTGTCTCAAGGAATGTAAGTCTCAAAGATAAATGTATTGATTCTGCCTCACCTCTGCTTCCCCTTGATGATTTGTTGCCAGTGGGGTTTCATAATTGGCTGCTTCTTCAGTGCTGTCTTCATACATTTGTGGAGTGTTAGCAATGTCATCATTTGCAACACGAAGAGCCCCTACCACAGGATGGATGCACATCGGACCAATTCATATCACCCGCGCACACGCCAGAGTAGCCATGTTGTCTTTCTTTCCCAAGCGCCCTCCCACCCAGGCGTCATCCAACTTACCCATCTTACCCATCCAATTTGACCCCCTCCAGTAAACCGCAGGCTCTTTCTCCTCAGACTCTCTCAAAGATTAATGAGCGGAGGAAACTCCGTCGCTTGTCCTATCGTAATAAAGACCCCACACTTAAGGCAGTAACGAATGAACTTAATTATGAGATTAAAGCCCTCATTAAGAGAGAGAGCGCTCAGTATTGGAATAATGTCTGCGAGCAACAAATAACGAAGATGATCCAGCAAACTTTTGGAAACTATTCAGCAGTGTCGGTAATCCTAGAAATATCCATGACAGACCACTTAAATGCGACGGCGGGACTCCCTGCAGTGATGAGAGCAAAGTCTGTTTCTGCATGAACCCTGCTGGAAGCTATGACAGAACCCCCTAGAGGAAAGCTTCGATCTCGAAAATAAAATCACCTTCTTGCTTTCTTCTTCGATGTGACTTTGATGAAGTTTGGCATGCAGGGCTATTCTATAAACTTTTCTCTCATTTTAAAATCCCACTGCAGCTTCTAAGATTAAATAAGAAATTCACCATAGGGCGCTTCAAGCACTGTAAAACCTATCCTCATAATAAAATCTTGGAACGTATAGGAAAAACCACTAACTGCTCATCCCCTGACCATCAAGCTCTCATCGTTCTTGTCTCAACAGTGCTTTTTTCTGCGGCACCTAAACTGATGGGGGTGAAAACAAATCTCTTTTCTATCTCACTCGATTTTCGCTTCTATTCCTTGGCGCAGTGCTTTTTTCTCCTGCGGAGGAAGTAGCGCACTCCCGCTCAAAGCGACCTTTCACTTCCTTCCACTTTCTCTTTCTTCCTCCACTCACTCGCTCCTCTATCTTTTCTTTTTCTGTTCTTCCTTCAGAGCATGGAAATCGGAAAATAATACAGACACTCTCACTCTAGCGGCCAACACAAGACCACACTCCTCAAACTCCTCTTCCATGACACCAATGTCTCAAATAACACCCTTCTTCAGATCTTCTCATGAGGGCGCCTGATAAGGCCCTTCCGGTCAGCTGGCACCTACAGTAGAGACACCTACTCTTCCTATAGGGCATCTATCCTCTAAAATACTACCGACAGGATGTAAATTCAGAATGAACTAAATTAAAACTTTTATAAGAAAAGAGAATTGTAAACTGCTAGAACGTAAATTAAACTTCTCCAGAAACATGTAGACCTACAGTAAATTGTAGTCAGCTCCAATCTACTAACCAATTAAATGACAGGATATTCTTGCTCTTGCTTCTCATTGAGAGCCGCTCTCTGTCAATAAGGAAAATAGAATTAATGACTAAAAGTATAAACGGGAGAGATCCAGGCGTGGATGTGAGCGTGCCTGCACACTCGTCCTCACGCCAGAGTCATGGGTCACCTTCCCATGGCGTTCACAACAGCTTCTCCAGGGTTTTGCACTCTTCCAGCCCTGATTTTAGGAGGACCTCACCATGATGGGTGGGAGTCATGTGGCGGTCCACCACTGACAGCGAGGCCCACGCATTCACTTAGCTCCTTTTATTATTTAAAAAAAAAAAAATCTCCTCAGCTTGATCCCTCAGCAAGAGTACACTCCCAGGCTCTAGCTTCCTTAGCCGTGCTTTTTTTCGGCCTAAGCTCAATCCCTACCCCAGCTGCCGGAGCCCTTTGTTCCGGCAGCCTTTAAATCGTCTTTATTAAGGCGTCATCCTTCACCTCATTCACATATACTCCTATCGTTTTCATATTGAAAGTTTACGTGGTTTTTTGACTGAACTTTCCCCAAACTCATTCCTCATTATCATCTTTCCTTCTTTCATTTCACCTTCTCCCTACTTCATCTATAAGTTCTCACACCTTTTCCTCAATCTCTCTCTTCCGAGGCATTAAACATGCCTGTGAAGAGGAGGCTGCGAAAAAGGGGCCCTTCTTCGCCCGCTCCCTCAGTTTCATCTAAACCCTCTCCTCACTCGAGGCGACAACCTTCGCATTACGGCCCTCACCTTCCCCACCAGCAAGAGACACCCCCTCTTGCTCATCATCTCATCCCTCGCCTTGCTCTATGCGGCAGCACTCCCCTACCGCATCAACCCGTCCCCTCCTTCACACAACTCTTCCCGTGCTTCTTCCCCAGCAACTCTGCCTAAAAAAGGCAAATTGAATTCCGCTCCTTACTTGTCCCCCGCTAACTCGCAGACGCCTCCTTCCATTCCTGATAAATCGTCTGTCAGCACTTATTCTCAGCCTGGAACGGCTTCTTCAAGTAAATCGCATGCTGCTCCGAATCACTCGCGCCCCAATTCTGGTCAGCCTCATTACTTTCAAAATCCAATTTTTATCCAGGCCCTCCCGCCAAAGAACCAACAAAGGATAGCCTTTGCTCGTGCGTTTTCAAACGCCTTCCCGACCAACCGCCTGCTCGATATCCGAGCAACTCGAAATGCAGGGTTCGTTCTGAGCCTCGAAAAGGCCTCAGACATACCCCAGAACTGCAGCAGGTGGAGCGAATCCGGAATTGGTAGCTAGGCATTCCCTGCGAAAGCATGGCTCCCCTTGATTAAATTCGTTGTGAAAGGAGTTGGCCTTCACGAAGATCTTGAGGTCATGCGCGATGTTCTTGCGACAGAACAAGGAATTTCCCTCCACGAAGGAGACCTCACGCACATGAGGAAAACCAAAACCGGCAAGCCTCCTCACCTCATTCTTGTTAAAGCCCTCGACACGGATACCGCCCGTGCACTGGTTAAATCCGGAACCCTCGTGGTAGGTTGTCTGCGCATCAAGATCGAGGAGTTCCTTCTCCAACCGTGAATTATCCAGTGCTTCAAATGCCTGGATTACGGCCATTACATCGGCCAATACAAAGCCGATCCAGACACTTGCTCCTTCTGTGAAGGTAAAGGCCATGCGCAGAGAAACTGCCAGGCCAGTCTGAATGGCTTGCACCCTAAATGCAGTCAATGCCAAGGAAGTCACATGGCGAACTCCGCCGCTTGCCCCAAACGGCAAGAAAAACGGCGGCAGATCGCCTCAGATCCGAGGATCTCTGGCTACTTACTTGCCAGGAAAATCCAGGAGAAGTTCAAGGAGCAAACAAACACCCGTGCATCCTCGAGGCCGGCTTTTAACTATCCGAACCCGCCCCCTGTCAGGACGCCCGTGAAACTTGTCCCCGGGCCACCCCCCTCCCGAAACGCATGGACAACACCGCCCGCATGTCAGGCCGCCCTCGTTCCCGTCGCGCCCGCCTCGCGCCAGCTCGTAACTGCCGTCCCGACTCCCGTCGCACCGCCCTCGCGTCCCTCCGCGGCATCCGCACCAGCGTCCGCCGCCATCCGCGTAGCTCCCGTCGCTGTCGCAGCACCCGCTATCATCGCGATCGAGCCCGCGTCCGCTCACGCGTCTCCCGAACGTGACGCGGTCATACATCTGCTCCTGCAGCAAGTGCAGACTAACATCGCTGCTCTGCACGCGTGCGGCTTCTCGCTTTCGCTTCCCGCCCCATCCCCTACCGTCCTCCCCTCCTCTACTAACTAATGACCTCTAATCTTGTCTCCTTTCATCACTTAAATTATAATTCTTTCCAAGGCAAGCGCCCTGAAATTTTGCATTACATTGAGCAAATTAAGCCCGTTATTATTTTTTCTTCAGCGAACTTAAATGTAAAAAGGCACCTACCATTAGGAACTACTATTGTTACAAACCCTGCTTTCAAAATAAACCGCTCCAGGGGGGTTCAGCAGTGTACATTCTTAGCAACCTCGACTCAGAATTAATTAGCCGCCCTTGGCACCCTGATTCAGAGATTATTGGCGTTAAAATCCACTTTCCCGTTACAACTCTCACTCCCTTCCATGCCTATTTTCCTCCTAAATCTCCTCCTTCTCTTTCTGACCTTGACTTTATTAATGGAATAAACGGTCCTTCTCTTCTCCTAGGTGACTTTAAACGCTCATTCCGCTGACCTGTCCTTTTGCGATGAATCCAATGCAGCAGGTCGCATTCTTAGCGACTTCATAGCTACCAGCAGCTTTACCATCTTAAAAGACGATTGCCCCACCTACCAGTCCCAAGCAAGGAAATTCGTACAGAATTGACCTCGCACTGGGCAACGCACAGTTCCTCCCTTTTTTCGCAATTTCTTCATAGAAGACATAGGGAGCGATCATGTGCCTATTCTGGTTAATTGTAACTTTTCACATCAGCCCCCATCTTCCGCTAATATCCCTCGATTTGATTTTCGTAAGGCCGACTGGCATATTTTCCAGGATAACGTCGAGACTCTCCTTCTCGACTCTCTCCAGCTTGATACCGTCCCCCAACTCGAGAAATCTGTCATTCTCATCACTGAAGTGATTCAAATTGCCCAGGAAATTTCCGTCCCCAAGCTGACTCCCTCCAGTAAACCGTACGCTCTTTCCCCCCAAACTCTCTCTAAGATTAATGGGCGGGGGAATCTCCTTCCCCTGTTTTATTGTAATAATGACCCCACCCTTAAACCAGTAATAAATAATCACGAGATTAAAGTCCTCATTAAGAGTGCGAGCGCTCAGTACTGGAATAACTTTTGTGAGCAACTTAACAACGAAGAGGATCCAGCAAACTTTTGAAACTATTCAGAAGAGTTGGCAATCCTAGAAATAACCATGATAGACCCCTTAAATACGACGGCGGGACTCACTGCAGCGATGAGAGCAAAGCCTCAGTTTTTGCATCAACCCTGCTGGAAGCTATGACTGAACCCCCCAGCTCTCTAGGACCCGACTCCCTAGAGGGAAGCCTCCATCTCGAAAATAAAATAGCAAACTTTTCCCTCTCTAACCTCACTCCTATGCCTGAGCAGCTCTCTCTTGCCCAGGAAAATCTGATAAGTGAAATATCGCCGGAAGAGATCGAGGCCGCGATCAAAGTCTCTCCTAATAAAGCCCCTGGCCCTGATAATATTTTCGTAAATAGTATTAAGCACCTCCCTGAGCATGCCCTTCACTCTCTCTATCTCGTCTATAACGCCTGTCTCCGCCTCGGCCATGTCCCTCTAAGGTGGAAGTCCGCTATAATTACAATGATTCCGAAGCCAGATAAGGACCTGTCAGACCCCTCTTCCTATCGCCCCATTAGCCTCCTCAACTCCCTTCAAAAACTCTTAGAAAGAATTCTTACTTCTCGTCTCCATGACTATTTAGAACTGAATAACACGCTCTCTCCTTCACAGACAGGCTTTCGTAGGAATCTCTGCACTACCGATCAGCTCGTTCGGCTCCATCATGACGCACTGGTGGCTGTCCATGGTAAAAAGCACCTTCTTGCTCTCTATTTCGATGTCACTAAATCCTTTGATAAGGTTTGGCATGCAGGGCTAATCTATGAAATTTTCTCTCATTTCAAAATCCCCCTGCAACTTCTAAGATGGACAGCCTCCTATCTGACTGAGAGATCTTTCAGGGTGAGGGTCGGGAACTAATTTCCCGAGATCCGCTCCCCCACCGCGGAAGTTCCGCAGGGCTCCGTAATTGCACCCCTTCTTTTCATTCTCTACGTTAACGATCTTTCTAGCTCTATCCCACGTAAACTTAATATCTGTACGAGCCAATACGCGGACAACACCGTCCTCTGGCTCTCAGACAGAGAGGTCGCCGCCCTTGAGTCGCGGGCCCAGGCGTCGCTTAACGCTTTGTCATAGTACTGTCGCAACTGGCGCATTAGCAGAGTCCCTCCAAATCCTCCCTCCTCTTGTTCGCCCGCGACAGAAAACCCCATACAGTAAAAGTCCACATGGACGATGTGCTCATTCCGCGCTCGCGTTTCACCAGATTCCTTGGAGTAAACTTTGATAGCCACCTCATATGGAACAATCGTGTTAAAGTAATCCGCTCGAAAGCATCTAGAAAACTTAACTGCTTAACAATTTTGGCGGGACTAATAAATGTGAACCTCATGTAATTTTAAAATTATATGTAACTTACCTCCGCCCGGTCCTAACGTACGCGTTCGCAGCTTGGGCCAACTGTCCCGAGGCAGTGATCAGTCAGCTAGAAGCCATCGAACGAGCTGCTATCAAGTACGCCTTCCGCTTCCCGTTTTTCTTTTCTAACTCCTATATTTATCGAAACAGCGGACTCACACCTCGCTCACAGTACGCTTCCGAGCTAGATCTCAATTGTTATTATGACGCTAAAAGGCCAGGGGACATTAAAGAAATTCCTGAAAGATTAAATAAGAAATTCACTATAGGGCGCTTCAAACACAGTAAAACCTATCCTTATAATAAAATCTTGGAACGTTTAGGA